ACAAAAGCTGGTCTTATGACTTCATACATGTAGTCAGTTTGATGGCTAATATGCCTCTTCAGTTTTAATTGTATGGTTGACATTTCATCAAACTGTCTGGGTAACACCTGCAGCATATCGTTTAATTCTACTCCTATATTGACCACACTTCCTTTCATTGCTAATTGTGGATTAATTGCATGGGGTTTTAGGGGTCTTATTTGCATAAAATTAATATAGGGCGCTACCATTCGTTCTTCTAAATCTGACAAACTACTCACGCATTCAGGAATCTGCGAAAACTTCAGTCCATTACTAGTAGCTAATTTCGGGACCTCCAATTTATTTATATGCCTATTACAAGTCACGCAAATGTAATTTGATTCGATATTATATATTTTATTAAAAAATGTTTCAAATTCGAGAAATCTGTTCTTGTTGATAAATAATTGTAAAAGCTTATCCTTCGAAAATTTTTGTACATAATTTTTAAAAAATAACTGCTCACAACAAATACATACGAAATCCGGCAAATCGTTTCTGGACTTGATAAATGTCAATTTAGAATTACTAATTGCATTTCTTTGTTGTTTCTTTAAAGTATTAACATACTGTTCCCTATATCTCAATATTTCATTATTTCTTATCTCTTTTTTTTAAGATACGTTGTTTTACTATTTCATTCTTTTTAAAGCTGTCATCGTCGCGCAACTGAGAGATCCTTTCTTTATTTTTTTTCATTCTCTTTTATTCGATAATCATCATTTTCTCTTATGTCCTTCATTCGGTTTTTATTCCTTTCAATCTCATTCATTTTATACTGCTCAGAACTTTCTCTTATGTCCTTCATTCGGTTTCTATTCCTTTCAATCTCATTCATTTTATACTGCTCAGAACTTTCTCTTATGTCCTTCATTCGGTTTCTATTCCTTTCAATCTCATTCATTTTATACTGCTCAGAACTTTCTCTTATGTCCTTCATTCGGTTTCTATTCCTTTCAATCTCATTCATTTTATACTGCTCAGAACTTTCTCTTATGTCCTTCATTCGGTTTCTATTCCTCTCATTCTCATTCATTTTATACTGCTCAGAACTTTCTCTTATGTCCTTCATTCGGTTTCTATTCCTCTCATTCTCATTCATTTTATACTGCTCAGAACTTTCTCTTATGTCCTTAATTCGGTTTCTATTCCTCTCAATCTCATTCATTTTATACTGCTCAGAACTTTCTCTTATGTCCTTAATTCGGTTTCTATTCCTCTCAATCTCATTCATTTTATACTGCTCAGAACTTTCTCTTATGTCCTTCATTCGGTTTCTATTCCTCTCAATCTCATTCATTTTATACTGCTCAGAACTTTCTCTTATGTCCTTCATTCGGTTTCTATTCCTCTCATTCTCATTCATTTTATACTGCTCAGAACGTTCTCTTATATCTATAATTCGGTTTTTATTTCTTTCATACTCATTCATTCGATATTGATCATTATTTTCTCGTAAGTCTTTCAATCTTTTTTTGTTCTTTTCATTCTCATTTACTCGATATTCTTCATTCTTTCTCTTCTCGTCAATTCTCTCGCGCTCTTGTTTTCTCTTTTTATTCGCTTTCGAAGCTATTGAGGTTTTCCGCTTTATTCCAGCCATTCAAGTTTATTATAAACGAGAATAATTTGAAATAGTTATAATCAGTTCGTTAAGTTTTAAACTTAAACAAAATAAATATGGACCTACCTAAGCGACTTCAACTACACAACAATGCGTTACTATAAACAAAAAAATGTCTTTTTCACTGAACAAAATAAATGGAGCAAACTTACCAACTGCCCGTTGATTTCACGTATTTACCTATTTACTTACACTGGTTTATTACCTACCAAAAACGTTTAATTTCTTATGTCTATCAACTTAGCAAAACAACTTGAAAAAATCCAATGCCCATTACTGTAACAATTATAGGTATCATTACCAGTGTAAAGCTGGCAACGGCCAGGATAGCAACGGTTTTTCTAAAACTGTGGCTGGGCAAACCGTTGCTGAAAAACTGTTGCTGGAAAAACCGTTGCAGAAATTAAGTGGGTAGATGATATGATAGGCTACAGTACAAATAGATAAGCAATTAAAACTTGCGCAGTATACCGTTGTCGCTGGCATTATCACATCATTGTCGGGGCATTAAGTCAAAAATTACCTAGAAAAATTATAGAAATTCATCAAATAGGTAAAATAAAGTTGATTACATTCAATTCATTGTCAAGCTGTAGAAAGTACCGGAAAGGGGCCAAAAAAGAAACATGGAAACATTGTCAGGGCATCCATGTGGGTCAAAAGGGGCGAAAACTAAAAAAAAAAAAACTTGGAATCGATCTGTCGAGTCATGAAAATGATCGAAATCGATTTAAAATAAAAAATGTACTAAATGAAATCAAAATTAGACAAAACTTCAATATTAATTTACCATAGATACAGAGTGACCCATTAATAAGTGGCGGAACATTCCCGTAAAAATTTTTGTGATTAGATTTTGTCGCGCTTTTTTTCAAACTGTAGAACATAAAAAACTGCATCCTCAGATACAATCAAACTCTTTTATAACTATTAAACACAGTGGCATGCAGGCTATTTTTTTATAAGGGCGAAATTAAAGAAAACATGTTAGGGATTTTTTTTGGAAAAAACTAAGTGCGCCACTGGATTCAGCGCCCCCAAAAACAGTATTGTATCAACTACCACCAAACGATGTTTGATAAAAAAAATCTCGATTTTAATAAAAAATACCACTATTTTTCCGAAACGATTTCGTAGATTGATTTAAAAACTTCTGAAATAAACGATCCAAAACCATTGTGGTCAACAAGACTAACACTTTTTAATTGATTTCAGTTTTTGATACAGACTCGTTTCCTAAGGGATAATGGCGTATTTTGTTTAAATACAAAATGATAACTGTTAGCGATTTTCATGACTCGACAGATCGATTACAAGTGTTTTATAATTTTTTTTTATATTCGCCTTTTTGACCCACACGGACTGCCTGACAAATGAAAGGATCGATCTAGATCATTTTCATGACTCGACAGATTCTATCTGAAATTTTTATAATTTTTTATTTAGTTTTCGCCCCTTTTGACCCACACGGACGCCCTGACAAATGAAAGGAAGACATTCTCCTCTATTTTTTATTTTAAATCGATTTAGACCATTTTCATGACTCGAAAGATACATTCTGAATATTTTACATTCTATTTCTATTACAAATGAGTGGAATAGCATTTTTCATTATAAATATTTCCATGTTTCTTTTTTTTATTTAACATTATAAATGTTTCCCCTTTCCGGTACTTTCGACAGCCTGACAATGACTTGAATGTAATCAACTTTATTTTACCTATTTGATGAATTTCTATAATTATTCTAGGTAATTTTTGACCTCAAGCTCAAGCCCCGACAATGATGTGATAATGCCAGCGACAACGGTAGGTATACTACGCAGGTTATAATTGCTTATCTATTTGTACTGTAACCTATCATATCATCTACCCACTTAATTTCTGCAACGGTTTTTCCAGCAACAGTTTTTCAGCAACGGTTTCACCATGTATCCATAAAGAAATCAGAAAGATGTATCATTACGTGTTTTAGAAACTTACAATTTACATCAACCCACCATGCACAGCACAACACTTCTACAATTGTTTAGGTACTTATTTGCAATATTGCGCAATAATCACAATAAACGAACGTGAGCGCACCAAAACACTTGCCGTTCGTCAGTCGTCTTATCGTCAGTCGTCACTTTCCTTACCTTATTGTTTTGTGCGCAGTGTTGCCACTTGCTAGACGATATTTCATCTGAGTAACAACAGTTACACAGAAAAAGTAACCAAAACCACTGAAACGTAACTAAAGATGAATCTCACCAAAATGCCAGTATTAGGTGATGACGTCACACCGTGCGAACTTTAAGAAATGTTCATTCATACTCAAAAGTAGGTACACGAAGTACACGAACTAGATATATGATATGACTGATTTAGGAAAAATAAGTTAGCGGCATTAGCGAAGGAAAAGGTAACTGAAATACCAAAGACGTAACAGAGTAACAAATTAAGCATAAAGCATAAACGTAACTAATCTGTTACAATTGTAACTAACTGGCAACCCTGTGTGCGTCTCACGTTCCCTCCACCCTCCCCCGGTTTTAACCATACGATGATTTTCCGTTTTACCACGCTTGGGGTTGTGGAATGGAGTGGAGCGACAGGTTCTCGGGCCGGTTGTTATTGTTGGTTGTTGCCAGTTTGGGCTATTTATCGCCAAATGGGCGACTTGAGCATCTGTTTCGTGACAAAAATTTTCAGATGGCGACTAGCGACAAAAATTGACAATATAGCAGAGACGGTAATAAATACGGATGAGCTCAAAAAAATTCAAGAAATTAATGTATTTTTAGGTAAGTATGTGTAATATCACGTACCTATACATTCTATGATGGCAACATTGCCCCTCTGCACTTGTTTACCAAACAGGAACCATTTTTTTTTTCATATTTATTTTATTGAAATTATGAAAAATACAAAGAAACCGTTTTAAAAACAAAATCGTTTTTAAAAAAATATCTATTTCGTCATATAGGTATCCGTCAAAAAATTTTAAAAAAAGATTATCCCGCCAATTTTCCCTTTACTATGCCTAATGTAAGTGTATACCTACCGATATTTGAACAATATCGTGTTTAAAAAAATTTCGATAACGTCATATCTCTCAAAAATTTATTTAAAAAAGAAACGCCCAGTTACTTTTTCTTACACTATCCCTAATAGAGGTGTATCAAATTTGAACAAAATTGGAATTAAAAGAAATATGGATGACGTCATAACTCCGTTAAAAAATTTTTTTAAAAAAATCACTGTCATTTTTTCCTACACCCTTATTAAATTTGAATAAAATCGAAATGTATAATATACTTTCTGCCCCGACATTGTTACCTCCACTATTAAAGCATAAAGTCGAAGAAAAAAAAAGTTGCTGCAACCGGAATTGAACCGGCGGCCTCTGGATTCGTAGACTAATGCTCTACCAACGTAGCTATTTGGCTTTTACCTGCAAATGGTGTTTTATGTTATATTATATGTATTATAATGATTAAGTATTTCTTTAACTTTAAATATCTCCATCAAAAATGATTTTAAAACAAAAAAATTTTAGTAGCGTACTCACCAGCCAAAGCTCTTTTTAAATGTGTAAAAAAATATATGGGTTGCTATTTAAAAAAATTATGGATTACGTCATATCTCCGTCAAAAAATTTTTTAAAAAAAAATCCGCCCCGTTACTTTTCCCTACACTATCCCTAGTATATGTATACCAAATTTGAATAAAATCGGCCGAGCCGTTTTCTCGGAAAATCGCCAACATACATACACACACACATACATACACACACACACACACACACACACACACATACAGACGGAAATGCGCCACCTAGCCAGAAATGCTTAAAATGACCCAAAACGTCAAGATTTGATGAAATTTTGACATGTCCAAAAATCGACTATCACAATAGCTACCTAGCCAGAGCTAGGAAGCTAAAAAATCCGAAAAAAAAATCTGTGGTACATTTTAGCTAAAATCCTATCATATAAGCATAAAACTAAAATATGTGAAACATGTCCATTATTTACCAATTGGAAATAAAATATTTTGATTGATTGATTGATTGATTGTGGAGCGACAGCTGCGTTCCTCAGAATCGTAACAGTTTAATGAGTTTGACGATTGCACATTTGCTACAAACAAGTATGAATCTTAAAAAAGTTACAATGAAATTCTTCGTGCCTGGGCATTGTTGCATACAAGAAGTGGGCTCTATCTATTGTGTAATAGAACGCAGTTTAAGAAAATCTGAGTATTTTTCCCCAGTATACTTGATAAGGCTTTTATTGGAAGTAAATACTAAAAAACCCTACACACTAATTCCGATGCAAGAAAAAGATTTCCTGGATTTCAGTTTCTATTGTTCTAAACTGAAATACAATTCACTTCCTTTTGTCAAAGTTGTGTCTTTAGAATTCACGAAATCTTTTTTCGAAATAAAGTATAAAACATCATTCTCTGAAACAGAATTTACATCTAGTTTAAGACAACGTAATGTAAGGAGGCACAGCAGACATTGACTATAATATTCCAAATTGTATTTAAAAAAACGACGTCAAAATTTTGTTGGGGAACAACAAGGTAGAAGCGTTAAAATCGAAGTACAAGTGGATGCCAGAAAATGATAAGCAATTTTATGTACATATGTATATTTTCAAAAAATACTAAAAGATTCCAAAAAGAAGTAAACATACTTCAAAATTTCGTAGTTTTAAGTTACATCTAGTATGATTTATGTTTAAAATTGGATTAGGTAACAAAGTGTATGTTATTTTTAGTTTTTCATAAATATTGAAAATTATTTTGAGTATTCTTAAGTTTTCTTTATACAGGGTGTTTCAGAAATAAGTACCATAAATTTAGCAGCAGATAGATCTTGATGAGATATGAAAAAAGCTATATAAAATTTTTCTCTAAGACTCACCCTTTAAAAGATACGTTGAATGTACTGGTTTAAAACTACATTTGTTTCGATATCTCTAAAAATAAGGAAGATAATAAAGTGAAATTTTAATCATAACATTCTTACATAATGACACTTTATCGCACCCAATTTTACTTTGGTGCGTCAACCAGAGGCGTATAACTAGGGCAGCCCACAGGCAATATCGCCCAGAACTTTTTACCGCCCTGCATATCAGGTATTTTGTTCATTTTTTTAAATTGTTCATACAATTTACTGAAAATGTTATCTCTTGTAAATTTCTTCTAGGATGCTTGGTTTTCAAGTTATTTTAATATTTTTTGTGTCGAAGTCAATGAATAAATTTCACCAACAAAATTATTTTTTTCGTGGTTTTGTAATTTTTAATAGATTTTTATATTTTACTTGAGATACTAAATTGTTTTCAATAGTTTTATAGGTCTACTCATCTTGTTTTAAATCGATATCGCACATTATTTCAGAAATTTAAAATAAACCCCTTTCTCTTATGGGAGTTTCTAGTGACATAGGCCGAAATAAGTGGAAATACCTCGAAAACTAAGCATCCCACAAGAAATTTACAAATGACAAAATTTGTAGTAAATCGAGTAGGTAATTTAAACATACCAATAAAATACTCGGTATACAGGGTGGTAAAAAGTTCTGGACGATAATGTCTATGGGCTACCCTAATTCTACGCCTCTGGATTGACGCACATAAGTAAAATTGGGTGCGATAAAGTGTCATTATGTAAGAATGTTATGATTAAAATTTATGACATGATATTTTGGTCACTCTGTATAACGCAGGTCATATTTTGGAGCATGCTTCGGAAGAGTCATCCTTACTAAACATCTGATTAAAAAATGGGCTTAATAGCTGTTAGTATAACCCGTCATTATCACAAAATATAAACAGCCAATATCGACTAGAAAAACCTTTCAAGCGAGATATCTAAAAAACTATGAGTATTTGAATAGGAGTATTCCACACAAAGTACCCTTTATTTTGTATGTAGAATCCGAAAAAAATATAAAAAATATGTGTTTCCGTTTACAAAATAAAAGTTGGTGTCTGGCCAGGAAAATTGAAACACCCTGTATAGTTGAAAATATTTTTATTTTGTAGATCTCGAGTAACTTGACCACATCCTGAAGAGAAAAATCCACATATTCCTTATTTTAACGTAGATATTGGACTTTACCGCACTAGTGGGACACGCTGTATACTAAGAGTTGCAGCTAGCTGGATTACCAATGAAGATGGAGAATTTTTACTCGCGGACAAAGGTAACTGAAAAATTATGCTTATTTATACCAATACGGTAATTATTTTGAAAACATATACAGGGTGTCTCTAAAAGGTCTGTAAAAAATCTTACCACATATTCCTGAGGTGATAATATGCCGATTTAAAGCAATTTACCTTAGTCCGAAATTGTTCCGTTTCCGAGATACAGGGCAGTAAAGTCAAAAAATTGAAATCGAATTTTTTTGAATTTTATGAACATTTTTTAACGTATTACTTTCAAAGTTGGTACCCAGGGCGTTTTTTGGGATGCGAAACCCGAATATTGACACCTTTTCACTGTGGCAGTTAGAGGGCGCTTCACACTGCACTTGTGATGGTTTAAAGTGGCCCTAACTTTTTTTCTCAGTGTGGTTTTTTTACTTTTTTTGTTAAGGAACCAATTCCCTGGACATTTTTAAGCCAAATTGGTACTCTTGTTAAAACCCACTAAAGTAAGCCGTTTTCGAATATTTCGAATTTTAGTGATACTATTTAATATTTCCGAATACGGAGAAAATTTGATAAGTGAATAATTCACTTACCAAATTTTCTCCTTAAAGGTAACAATTTTTATTTTATTAAAAATAAATTGAATAATTCCGGAGCGGCATAGAACACTAAAATTCGAAATATTCGAAAACGGCTTACTTTAGCGAATAGGTAAGTGAATTATTCACTTACCAAATTTTCTCCTTAAAGGTACTTAACAATTTTTATTTTATTAAAAATAAATGAATAATTCCGGAGCGGCATCGAACACTAAAATTCGAAATATTCGAAAACGGCTTACTTTAGCGGGTTTTAACAAGAGTACCAATTTTGCTTAAAAATGTCCAGGGAATTGGTTCCTTAACAAAAAAAAGTAAAAAACCACACTGAAAAAAAAGTTAGGGCCACTTTAAACCATCACAAGTGCAGTGTGAAGCGCCCTCTAACTGCCACAGTGAAAAGGTGTCAATATTCGGGTTTCGCATCCCAAAAACGCCCTGGGTACCAACTTTGAAAGTAATACTTTAAAAAATGTTCATAAAATTCAAAAAAATTCGATTTCAATTTTTTGACTTTACTGCCCTGTATCTCGGAAACGGAGCAATTTCGGACTAACGTAAGTTGCTTTAAATCGGCATATTATCACCTCAGGAATATGTGGTAAGATTTTGTACAGACCTTTTAGAGACACCCTGTATTTAGAATGTGCTTCCCGTATTTGGGTACCCAATAAGTTAATAGTATATGATGAGAGAAACCACTCATTCTTACGAAATGAAAATGGCGAAAATATATCACAATTGACGGTAAAAGATGTCTCGACGGACTTTACAAGGGATGCTGAGGATGTGAACGAAAATCCTGTTGAAGAACTAAATAAATATTGGGAGAAAAAATACTTGGACTTCAGCAGATACTTTGGCTTTAATTGCTGCTGTGGAAGCCAGATACGATGACGTGCATCATGTCCAAAAGAGGAAAACATTTTGGACGGTAATAAGTGAGCAGCTCTGCAGTCAGAATATTATGGTAAGATTTTTGAAAACATGTTAACAGTTTACCAAAATTCTACTATATTATTTTTAGGTTACCGATGCTGCATGCAAAAAGAAATGGTTAAATTTACTAAGAACCTATAAAGCTACCAAAGATACTCGTAATAGAACCGGAAGGGGCCCAGTGAAATTTGAATATTTTAATCGATTAGATGAATTGTTAGATGATTCACCATCGAACGCAAGTCCGCATTCATTAGATGTTTCTGAGATAGAAACTACAGATTCACAATGTGAATCACAAAGTGACTCTTCGATAAATTTGCAAGTTGAAACTGAGACATCTAGTTTTGCAAGTTTGCAGCTTGGGAAGAGAAAGAATCCAACAGCCGAACTAGTGAAAATTAAAAGACGATATTTTGAAAACAAGGTGGAGAAAGCTAACGAAAAAGAAACAAATAGAAATTTATACCTACAAGAGAACTTAAGACTGAAGACTGAAAAGGTGGAAATTTCCAAAAAAAAGTTAGAACTTGAAGAGCGCAAGTTACAGGTTTTAGAAGATTTGAAGAACATTTTAAAGGAAAAAGATATGTAAAGTATCTTGTGTTCGCAAAAATTATATTTATTTTACTTTGAGTTTTGTGATACATTAGAGTATTATATTTATTTTTTCTTTAAGTTTTGTAATACATTAAAACGCCAAACTTGTATAGAACATATATTTATTTAAAATAACT